TCCCTGGATGTTCACCGGTGTCACTGTGGTGGGTCTGCGTCTCCTGAAATCCACCACCAACTCCTTGGTTTTCCCGGCGTTGATCAGCAGATGGTTCTGCTGACACCAGTCCACAAAGTCCAGAGTCCCCTGTCTGTACTCTGAGTCATCCTCACCTGTGATGAGGCCAACTATGGCAGAGTCGTCAGAGAACTTCTGTAGGTGGCAGCGTGGGGAGCTGATGGAGAAGTCAGCAGTGTAGAGGGTGAAAAGGAACGGTGCCAGCACAGTTCCCTGTGGGGCCCCCGTACTGCAGACCAGCGTGTCAGAGACACAGCCCTGTGACCTCACATACTGTGGTCGTTCTGTGAGGTAGTCCAGTATCCACTGAGAGATGTGGTGGTCCACTCCCGATAGCTCCAACTTATCTTTCAGAAGTCGTGGTTGGATGGTGTTGAAAGCACTGGAGAAATCAAAAAACATGATCCTCACAGTGCTTCCAGGCTTCTCCAGGTGAGTCAGAGCTCGGTGCAGAAGGTAGATGATGGCGTCCTCCACCCCAATGCCAGGCTGGTAAGCAAACTGTAGTGGATCTAATGAAGACCTCACCAGGGGACGCAGATGGTTAAGAACCAACCTCTCGAGTGTCTTCATCAGATGCGATGTGAGGGCTACCGGCCTGTAGCTGCTGAGGTCCTTGGGATGGGAGGTCTTTGGTACCGGTACCACACAGGATGTCTTCCACAGCTGTGGTACTTTTCCAAGCGATAGGCTCAGGTTGAACAGGTAACCTAGTATGCCACACAGTTCATCTGCGCAGCACCTCAGGAGCCTGGAGCTGACGCCATCTGGGCCTGCAGCCTTATGCACCTTGATCTTGCGAAGCTCGTTCCTCACTTGAAATGCTGAGATGGAGAGAGTGGGTTTTGGGGGAGGGGTGTGTATAATGGAATCCACAGAAGCCAGGGGTGGGAGTAATGACTGGGAGCTGGGAGGTGTGAAGCCGAGAGGTGTGAATTCCTGAGGTGAAGGACAGGCAGTCCCTGAAGACAAAGGAGATTGCAGCAGGGGGGACGATGCTGTGGGAGGGGTGGGTGGTTGATCAAACCTATTAAAATATTTGTTTAGGTCATTCACCCACCCCAAGTCTCCCACAGCCTGGGGGGTTGGTTTTTGTCCTGAGATTGTCTTCAGGCTGTTCCAAACCCCTCTGATGTTGTCCTGCTGTAGCTGCTCTTCCATCTTCCTCCTGTAGTTTTCCTTTCCTTGCCTTATCTTCCATTTCAGCTTCTTCTGAACAACTCTCAGCTCCTGTTTGTCCCCCGATCTAAAGACTCTCTTCTTCTCCTTGAGGAGAGCCTTAATTTCAGGATTTATCCATGGCTTGTTGTTGGAAAAACACCGTATCTTTTTGATGGGTACGGTGTTGTCCACGCAGAAGTTCATGTAATCCGTAATGCAGTCTGTGATGCTGTTGAGGTCATCCTCCAGGGGGCTGCAGAGGTTGTCCCACACAGTCGAACGGAAACAGTCCCTCAGGGCCCCTTCAGCCCCTGCCGACCACCTCCTTACTGTGCGTTTCACTACTGGTTCTCTGCGTACTAGAGGTTTATACACAGGCTGGAGATGAACCAGATTATGATCTGAGCCCCCCAGGGGAGGGAGAGGTGATGAGCTGTATGCCTCCTTGGTGTTGGCATACAATAAGTCCAATGTTTTATTGTCTCTGGTGTGGCAGGTAACATACTGTGTGAAAGTGGGGAGAGTGGAGGACAGGGAAATGTGATTAAAGTCCCCAGAGATCAGGAAAAGGGCCTGAGGGTGCTGTGTTTGGAGTCTGCTGGTTACAGTGTGCAGGACCTCACAAGCTGCTTCAGTGCCAGCAGAGGGCGGGACATACACAGCTATCACAATAACATGTGTAAACTCTCGCGGTAGGTAGTACGGTCTCATGCTAACCGCTAGCAGCTCAATGTCCTTACAGCATAGCCTCTCTTTGATAGATAAATGCCCAGAGTTACACCATCTATCGTTCACAAACACAGCCAGACCCCCTCCTCTCTTCTTACCGCTCTCCGTTGTCCTGTCGGCCCGGATCAGATGAAAACCATCCATGTTTATGTGTGAGTCCGGAGTTAGCTCAGTTAGCCACGACTCCGTGAAGCACAACAGGCCGCACTCCCTGTAGCTCCTCTGATGTCGGGTAAGAGCCGCCAATTCGTCTACTTTATTGGGGAGAGATCTCACATTCCCCATAATAATAGATGGAATCGCTGGCCGGTACCTCCTAACTTTACTGCGACGCCCGATCCCGGCCCGAGTACCGCGTCTCTTCCTCCTCACCTCGCGGGGGATGTTAGCTTGCTCAGCGGTAGGCATAGCAGAGGAGGCTCCGAGGGCTAACAGCTGATCCCTGCTGTAAACAATGGGAGATTGGCCCTCCACGCTCTCTCCAGACAAAGACGCCGTAAAAAATGTGATAAAGAACACAATTGTCCAAAAAATTCTGAGCTCCATTGTGGGGAGCAGCACTCCACAATAGAAAAACAAAACAAAAAAAAAACTCAAAAAAAACAACAGAGAAACATATAATTAAAAAGGGACTCGGTCCGGTCAGAGCTGCTGATACTGGCTGCCAGCTCGGAGCGGCGCCTGGGTAGAATTATCTATATGCCTCCACTATCTATAGATAGTGTTGGTAACGCACTGCTTTCTCCCCTCCCCTGAGGCGCCGGATGGTGGACCAGAATCTCCTCGAAGCCGTACGGAAGTCTTGCTCCATGGTCTCACTGAACTCTTCCCATGCCCGGGTTTTTGCCTTGGCGACCACCCTAGCCGTGTTCCGCTTGGACTGCCGGTACCCGTCAGCTGCCTCTGGAGTCCCACAGGCCAAAAAGACCTGATAGGACTCTTTCTTCAGCTTGACAGCATCACTAACCGCCAGTGTCCACTAGCGGGTGCGGGGGTTGCCACCACGACAGGCACGGACGATCCTGCGACCACAGCTCTGGTCGGCCGCCTCAACAATGGAGGCACGGAACAGGGTCCATTCAGATTCGATGTCCACCGCCTCCCTCGGAACATTTTGGAAGTTCTGTCGGAGGTGGGATTTGAAACTCCTTCTGACAGGAGACTCTGCCAGACATTCCCAGCAGACCCTTGCGATGCATTTGGGCCTGCTTGGTGTGACCGGCATCCTCCCCCACCATCTGAGCCAACTCACCACCAGGTAGGTAGTAGTCAGTTGACAGCTTTGCCCCTCTCTTCACCCGAGTGTCCAAAACATGCGGCCACAGGTCAGATGGAACAACAACAAAGTCGATCATCGAGCTGCGGCCTAAGGTATCCTGGTGCCAAGAGCACATATGGACACCTTTATGTCTGAACATGGTGTTCATTATGGACAATCCATGACTGTCACAGAAGTCCAATAACAAAACACCACTCGAATTCAGATCAGGGGGGCCGTTCCTCCCAACAACACCTCTCCAGGTCTCACTGTTGTTGCCCACATGACCGTTAAAGTCCCCCAGCAGAATGAGGGGGTCACTGGAAGGAGTGCTTTCCAGCACCCCCTCCAAGGTCTCCAAAAAGGGTGGGTAGTCTGAACTGTAGTTTGGTGCATAAGCACAGACCACAGTCAGAACCTGTCCCCCCACACATAGGCGGAGGGAGGCTACCCTCTCATTCACTGGGGCAAACCCCAACGTACAGGCACCAAGATGGGGGGCAACCAGCATGCCCACCCCTGCTTGGCACTTCTCAGTGGGAGCAACTCCAGAGTGGTAGAAAGTCCAACCCCTCTCAAGGAAACTGGTTCCAGAGCCAGGCGTTGAGGTGAGTCCGACTATGTCTAGTCGGAACCTCTCAACCTCACACACCAACTCAGACTCCTTCCCCACCAGAGAGGTGAAATTCCATGTGCCAAGAGCCAGCTTCTGTACCCGAGGATCAGACCGCCAAGGTCCCCGCCCCCGACTATCACCCGTCACACACTTTGCCCAACCCCTTTGTCCCCTCCCACAAGTGGTGATCCCATAGGAAGGGGGACCCACGTTTCCTCTTCGGGCTGTGCCCGGCCGGGCTCCATTGGGTGAAAGCCCGGCCACCAGGCGCTTGCCAACGTGCCCCACCTCCAGGTCTGGCTCCAGAGGGGGGCCCTGGTGACCCACGTCCTGGCAAGGGAACACGGTTTCCATTTATATAATTCATCATAAGAGGTCTTCTAATTTAGTTTAATTTAAATTTTTTCTTGAAAGCAAAACAATGTTAATGCTGATATTTTCTGATTTGTTTTAGCCTAAAATATCCAGAGTTGACATTCTAAGAAGAATGCACCTACCAAGTTACATGAAGATGTAGCAGAATTGGGCAATTTAGTGGTGATTAATTTTTAAGTATAAATTGCTACAAAAAGTAAACATAAATTTATCATTTCATTGATCAGCTACCATAAAAAATAAAAAATAAAAAAAACAGGCAGACAGAGCTGCTAGAAAAGCAAAGAGCTACTGGAGCGCCACTCAGGAAGAATGGTCTGTCTATAGCTCCTTCTAAGAGTCTAAAAAACCCCAAGTTGCTTTACAACACAATCAGTCATTTACCCATTTATACCCACAATCACACCATGGTGGTGATGAGCTACAATGTAGGCACAGCTGCCCTGGGGCGCACTGACAGAGGCAAGGCTTCAGAGTACTGGCGCTGTTACTCCCTCCAACCACCAGCAGCAAAGGTGCTTTGCCCAAGGACACCTGGTAATAGATCAGTGAAGAGAAATACCATCAGACTCTCCACCATGTGGCGCTGGGATGTAGTAAAAACAATGAAAGCATATTTTTGATGCACCATCTGTGGTATGTCTTCTAAAATGGTACCAATCAAAACTGTCAACATGAAGTGTTCCTTATATAATTTAGGAAACTGTAATTTTGGGTGATTGTTCAGCTCTTCCAGATCCGTGAGCTCTTTTATTTTTGTGAACATTTTCCAATTGCTTTCTTTGTCTTTGCTTTTTCCAGGCTCCATCTTCCCGTCCTGTAAACCCTCTGAAACCATCTTTAAGATCACCTTCTGGCTGGGCTACCTGAACAGCTGCATTAACCCCATCATCTACCCGTGCTTCAGTCAGGAGTTCAAAAAAGCCTTCCACAACATGTTGCATGGACACTGCCTGAGGACAGGGATTCCCACCACCAAACAGGGACACGTCTCCGCTCATTCCTCCAGTACAGGCCCCGCCTCTAATGTATCCATCGTCTCGGTCCAAACACAGACCACCATTTTTCCCTGGGCTTGCTGCAAGACGCTATCGACCTCGTCCTCATCTGTTGCCCCTAAAGAACGAGCTCAGACTGCACAAGCCCAGAAGAAGGGTCTCCTGAAGACCTGGTGTCTTTCAGCAAGGCGAACTTCAATACTGCAGAACCCCTCCACAAATGGGTCGACCAAGGTCTTGCGCCTTTCGCTTGGCATTTCGGGAGAGGCTGTTTAATTGTCTCCTTGAGAACTCTGGGTACTCCATCTTAATATTCCGCCTGCTCGGAGAGACAATTATGAACAACTCCTGGGTCCTGAAATGCAACAGATGGGGATAAAAATGACTTATGAGTTCAGAACATGCAAGCTCAGCAAGAAACTTTTGGACAAGTTATATTGTTGGCCTTTGTGGAAAAAAATCTAAGCCAAAAGCTCCTTCTGTGGATTCGAGCACTCAGATAGAAAGCATATCCATCAGCCAAGGACACATGAAGATAAAGTAATTTATTCTAAATGAAATTGTGAAAGAACCCTGGAGACGAAATTTCATTAAACATCAGTGGTATTTCTGCAGTTTGCACCAAAGGTCTCTAGGGCAGGATATTAAAACATTGTGGTGATAATTAGTATTCACAGAGAAACCGTGTGTGTGTGTGTGTGTGAGAGAGAGAGAGAGAGAGAGAGAGAGAGAGAGAGAGAGAGAGAGAGAGAGAGAGAGAGAGAGAGAGAGAGAGAGAGAGAGAGAGAGAGACATGTGTGACCTCTGTTCTGAAGAAGAGACATTTAAAAGTCTGTAACAACCTGAAAAAGTCAGACTGGGAGATTTTTTTCAGAATGGATTAAATTGAAACAGAAAAAGTTTTTTTCCAGAACATGTCTGAAGCTTGAGGCGCTCTGCCGCTTTTGTTTAAGGCTCCAACAACATGATGTTGAAATGTCTTTTCTGTGTTTTACATCATCATTTGTGATGTTAAACAAATAAAAAGATGTTTGATGTATTTTTTCCCCCCTCTCATCAGTCCTGGTGACAGATTATTGTTGTTTAACTTCTGCTTTTCTGTCACTGCGGAGCTTCACGGTCGGGGATCCCCTCAAGCAAACACTGCAGATTTTTTTGTATTAAAAAAAGCGAATGCATGAGCAAATAGGAGCACCAGCTGACTGATGTGATTCTTTAACTCTGAGTTTAACCCACTCATCAATCAGCTCTTATATCCAAGACCCAGAACATGCTCATAGGAAGACTCGTCACATCTGTATTAGTGAAAATAACTGGGGAAAAGTCATGAAAAATCAAGGGGGGACACCCTGGAGTCCATCTGACCCTGTTAGGAGCATGGGAGGGTTAATCCCATTGCAGTCTAATGTTATTTCTTCATGCATTTACTATTATATTTAAAGGATGAGTGAGGTGAGGTGAGGTGAGGTGAGTTGAGGTGAGGTGAGGTGAGGTGAGGTGAGGTGAGGTGAGGTGAGGTGAGGTGAGATGAGATGAGATGAGATGGGAAAGTATGGATGAGCAGGAGTAACAGATGAGCAGACTGAGAAGCAATGGGGTTGTGAAGAATGAATGAGAAGGCATGAGGATTGTAAAGATGAGGGGACAAAGTGAGACGAGATGGAGTAATGATGAATGAGATTCAGTTTGGATGAGAAGAAAATGTGATATGAGGAAAGGAAGTGTGATGAGAGGTGGAAGAGTTGAGGAAGATGAGCAGTATGAGAATCCACAGGAACAAAAGGAGTGAGTGGGATGAAGATGTGTGGAATGACAAGGACTGAGAAGGATGCAAGAGATGAGGAAAAATAAGATGGATGAAAGGAATAAGTGAAGCCAAATAAAAATGCAAGTTAAACCAGTTTAACTGATTCCTGATGATACTCGGTGTGGATGAGGAAAGAGTGGGATGAGAAGGGATAAGTAAACAGAAGGATGAGAATGACAAGTGAAATGTTTGGGAAGGTCAAGGAGGACCAGCAAAGCTAGTGGGTTGAGAACTGAATGATAAAAGGTAAGTAGATGGAAAATAGCAGAAAATGGCTAAAAGGAATAGAATGCATAAGACTCACTGGGTCATGAGGTTGAGGCGTGTCCCTGCTGCTGAAACTAAAACAAAAACACTTCAAATCCACATTTATCAGACACTAAATCTGACTTTTTTTTCACATGCAAAGGTTGTGACTCCTCGTGAAGTTTAACGCGATATTTGTGTTAGAGAGGCACCTGAAGGATATAAAACAATCAAAATGTCGCTCACGTTGAGCAAATTCCATCCCATCTGAGTATGCAACAGTGTTTATATCCAGGTGTGTGTGTGTGTGTGTGTGTGTGTGTGTGTGTGTGTGTGTGTGTGTGTGTGTGTGTGTGTGTGTGTGTGTGTGTGAGAGAGAGAGAGAGTGAGAGAGAGAGAGAGAGAGAGAGAGTGAGAGAGAGAGAGAGAGAGAGAGAGAGAGAGAGAGAGAGAGAGAGAGAGAGAGAGAGAGAGAGAGAGAGTGAGAGATCTGCTCCCATCAGCTCTGATATTATTTATGAAAATAAATGCAGCAGCCTCCTGTTAAACATGCAGCTCTCATTTTTGGAGAGAAGCAGCAAAGAATGTTGCCGCCTCTGTCAAATTAAATCAAATGCTGTTGTGATGAATGGATCCAGGCTCCTATTACAGAAAAAGAGGCGGGCTTCGGTGTAATCAGTTGACTTAGCAAAGTGGCGTGTCATTACAGAGTGATTATGATTAATAAGGTGGAGGCTGCAGAAGCACAGGGTGAGAAGACAGAGATGCTTCATTGTTCTCCTGGAAGAAAGTCAGCTTTTGAGTTAAACTCTTTTTTCTGACAGTCTTCTGCATCACACTTCTTCCAAAAGCAGAAATGAGAAGTTTAAGCAGCACTTCACTCCTGATAGAGTAGCCAAACTTCTTGTTAGTGTTGTTTACCTGACACGTTTTGTATCCCGATAAACAACAGGACGACTGTTTACAGGGGATGGATGTGTGATTCTGACTGGGTCGTGGTTCAGTCGTGTCTCCAGCTGCTGCCTGATATCCAGGCTGCTTCTGCAGCAGCAGGAACCTTCTGCTTTTTAACAAACTGATGATACAACAAATATCAGTACCCTAATCAGAGTGGTTGTTTGGTGTTAATGAGACTCTACTTTACTAAACCAAACATTTTGTAATTAGAGTTTTATGTAAGTAAAACTTCTTAAGTATTTTTGAGACATTCTGATGAGATAGTCATGCAAATTCTAGATCAAGTTTGATGGGTTTTTAAAGCAATTAATCAATTAACTAATGACTGAACTTTTTAATGTTAACTGGCTGCTTGTTTGACTTTCTGCAATGGCACATTAATGGCAGTGCAAATGGAGGAAGAAAGAAAAAGAAAACAAAATGAAGAAAGCAAAAGAAGCAAGAGTTGAGATTATAGTCAGGGAAAAATGTGGAAACTACACTGCCCGGCCAAAAAGTCACACTAATATTTAGTTGGACCACCTTTAGCTTTGATTACGACACACATTCGCTGTGGCAGCAGCCAGATCTCAAAGTGTAGCCCCGCCCCGTGTCGAGTCTACACATTCTCCTGAGTTTTGGAAAACTCCAAATCTCGCGAGAATTTATCTTACAGCACAAGGTTAGCTGTGACATTCTTTCCATAAGCTTCTGCAATGTCGCCAGATTTGTTTCCATCCAGTGTTGGATTAATGTGTCACCAAGATCGCTGCACCAAGACTTCTCCAGCACATCCCAAATTTTCTCAATGGAGTTAAGATCTGGACTCTGGGGTGGACAATCCATGTGTGAAAATGATGTCTCATGCTCCCTGAACCACTCTTTCACTATTTGAGCCTGATGAATCCTGGCATTGTTACCTTGGAATTTGCCCGTGTCATCAGGGAAGATGGAATAATCTGGTCATTCAGTATATTCAGGAAGTCAGTTAACCTCATTCTTGGAGTACATCCTGTTGCTGAACCTAGACCTGACCAACTGAAGCAACCCCAGATCATACCACTGCCCCCACAGGCTTGTACAGTAGGCACTAGGCATGATGTGTGCATCACTTCATCTGCCTCTCTTCTTACCCTGATGCACCATCACTCTGGAGCAGGGTCCATCTGGACTCAGACCAGTTTTTAGAAAAGCGTTAGACAGTTCTAAACCCAGTTTTAGTCGTTTCTGCAATCTCCTTAGATGTTTTCTCTGCTTGATGCCAAGGATCTGACCCTTCTCACATAGACTAACATATTTTCCATGACCACCAGATGTGTCTTTCCAGATGGTTGTTTAAGAAATCTGATGCAACTCATTGCATCAGTCGGGGTTAAATAACTTGTTGCTGGCTAAATTTCCTACCTGAAATTTGATTCAGCGGTGGGAAATTGGAGCTCACGGTTTGGGAAGCAGCTGAAGACCATGGGTGTGCTGCTTCAGAAAAACTGAGAATTCTCTTCAAAGTGAAACATTTGCACCCTGTAGGGATTCAAATCCAGAAATTTTCCTCCTAACGACGAAATAATCGCTTTCTTTCAGCCAACTTTGAGCACATTTCATGGCCTTAAAGTCTCGTGGAAGTCTCTGTGGACTTGACGCAAAGAGAAAATGATGGACAGAGAGGAGGAAGAGTGAAAGGAGCTGTAGTTTTCATGTTGTTAGCAATTCACTCATCAAACCAACTTCCTCCCAGGCTTTTGGTCTGACTTTTGCTCAAGTGGATGGCTCAAATTGGTTAAATGTTATAAATAATCACTATCTCACCTGTTGGACCATGAAAGATTTCTGTTAGGATTCACTGGTTGAACTACCTGCTGATCAGGTCATCAATGCTCTGCAGAACCCTATTTATCAGCGACTGATTCAAACCAGGTGTGTGGAAGCAGAGAAACCTCTAAAACATGGTGGCCCTGCTCTAATCAACCTGTTTGGTCATCCTTATTTCTCTTCTGGTGAATGTAGTGTATGTTGCTGCCGCCTTATATGATTTTAAGGTGTTTATGCAGAGGAATGCAGTCTTTTAGTGCGGAAGTTGAAGGGTTAAATGAAAGCATTTGAAATTCTGACTCCTTTTAATTGGTTTCTTTTTTATTAAACAGCTGCTGAAGCAAAGTGACAGAGAGAGTAGGACAACACTGCCACCTGGTGTTCAGTTAAAACCTTCCTCCCTGCATTCAAGAAAGTCAGAAATTCTCATGGTGTTGCAAACATGCTGCAGCCATAAGTGTTCTGGGTGACCTGAGAGTGTTTAGAGTGGGCTGTGATTCATTAATATAGACCTTCAACAAGGCAAAGATGGGATCAGTGTCTATAGCAGATAACTGGATCTGCACAAGTGATCTAATCCATCTAAACCAGGGGTGGGGAATTCTGGTCCCTCGAGGGCTGCTATCTGTCATGTTTTAGTTGTTTCCCTGTTTTACCATTAGGCATTTTATACGGTTAAAATCATCTAGCTTATCTGCACTTTTTAAAGCACTGCCCAGCAAACATTTGGACATTTAATGACAGTTGAACGGTCACAACTGTAAAATAATATCACAGGAATTAGGAAAAAATAACACAACATCTACTCTATTTGCCTTGCCCAGACTCAAACCTGCCTCCTCCGGGGGGAGAGTCACCAGCTCTACCAGCTGAGCTATGACAACAACTACTGAATATCAAATTTTTTTATATGGATATAGCTCTCATCATTGTGGTCCGACAGGAAGCCAATGGGCCAATGAGGTAGAGGGTAAAGTGCGGGCAAAACTAACCAATCAGAGGACAGAGAAGATCTGCCACAGGCCACGCCTCCAGAGTGCCAAAACCCCTTCACAGCCGAGCGAGCGGAGTTAGAAACCAAGCGCGCAGAGAGGCTGCCGAGCGCACAGAGAGGCTGCCGCACGCGCACGTTTTCCTCTGCCGTGTCCTCGTTGGCAACGCGCGCACGCAGGTTTGTCACTTGTGCACATCCTTGTGCACCCAGAGACACAGTTTGCTCCCTCTCAGTGCACAAATGACCTCTCGCTATGTATATTTTCACTCGCGAGTCCCGTTCACACGCACGGGTTGTGGCACGGGTCTGACGCCATAGTGTTTCCATATGTTTCTCATTTAGGGAAGCAGTTTTTGGACTTTTGTTGCCTGTTATCATGCTTTTTTATAATGAGGTCTGCAGGACTCTGGATGTAGGGCAGATCTTTCAGTAACCTTGCATGGTCTTTGTTATATAAGACTAATTCACAAGAGTAATCCAGTGATTTTTTTTCTGATT